AAGGAATTGTTAACGGATAATTGCTGCAAGAAAACTTCATGATTTCCTTTAAGGGGAAATTGTATATCTTTGGTTTTAACAGGCTTAAGGGGGTTAGTTTGTTTTAGATTTAAGTTATTAGAGGATTTTAAAACATTTTGGCCAAGAGTTTCCTGCAATTTAGTTTTGGCTTTAATATTTGTTTTTTGGTATTTCAATTTTATATTGCTTTGGCTGGTAGTGACAGACTTTCTTTGTTTATCCACGGTTTTGATAAGTTTAGCTTGCTTTACTTCCTTGTTAGCATTCAGCTGACCATGTTCTTTAGGCCCAGTTATTTCCTGTTCTATCTCTTTATCCATTAACTCTTGATCTAGCAAATTTAGTATATTCTGATTTAAAGCTTCTTCTATATCACTTTCCTCTTCTGCTGGTATATTTAACATATCCAGATCATCATCACCTAAAGCATCAGCTAAAGCTTTTGTTAGATCTTCATTTAAGCCTACATCATTCTCAGCTTCTGGGTTTAAGTCATGTAAAGGATTTGTTGAATCCTCTTCTTGCGTTTCCTCAGCATTTAAAGTTTCCTCCAAGTTCTTTAATTGTAATTCAAAATCTGTACAAACTTCACTATTAACATTTTTAGATTTCTCCTTATTATCTTTTGGAATATATGCCCCAAAATCATTTTCTTGAGTTTCATCATTAAGTAGATTCTCTAAATGTTTTAATTTTTCTGCAAAATTTGTGTTTTCTGAGGAAGTTTTTTGGGTTTTCGTTAATTTCTTAGATTTTTTAACAACTTTACTATGACAATCAATATTGTCCTCTAAATCCAGCATTATTTCCTTTAAACGTTTATCAAAATTGTTACCCTCAAGTTGGTCATTAAGTTTGTAAGACAAATTGTCCTTCTCATGAGAATTTTCATTCTTATTTTTTAAATTTTTAGATGATTTGCTCAATAATTTAGTGTTTAATAAAACTTTTTTGCTAGTTGCAACCTTTTCAGTCCTTAATTTGTTATTTTTCATAGTTTTTTCTTCTACTGTATAATTTGAATGTTTTTCTTCCTCTTTGCTTTCATGTTTATCTAAATTACCTTCTAAATTCTCCAATAAACTGTCGACATCATCCAGATCCTCTAGACCTTGTAATAGATTTTTGATATTTTTCTCCTTTAAAGTTTCAAAATTATCTTCTGCTTTGTTTAAACTTTCCTCTATACAACTACTATTGATAATTGCTTCCGTCATGGTAACATCAGCTTGCACTTCATTGCTTACATCCAAAATACGCTTCGAAACGTTCAGGTTTATGTCACTGCAATCTATTCTCTTTAGAACGCTATCATTGGAATCACTATCTTCCCATTCATTTTGTATTTCTCTTAACAATGTGTTATCTAGATCAGCTTGCTTTTCCCCATCCTCCTCGTCATTATCTTCTTTCTGATCATCACAAGTTGTACTATTCAACTTATCCATTAGATTAAAAGAAACATCACAATCTTCCAAAGCCTTTAAAATAGACATATTGGCTAAACCTAAGGTGTCTTCCTCTTCATTTTCAGCTTTATTATCCTTAATCACTTTATCCTCCTTTGATTGTTTATCTTTAGGCACGACACCCTCATTCAACCATTTCATATCTTCATCACCCAACCACTTACTGTCCTCTACGGACATATTGGACTCTTCACTGTCCACATCGGGTGCACAGGATGTCGTAGTTTGATTCATTAACTCCTCTATAGCATAGACTTCCACTTCTTTCGTTGGCTTAACAAATACCAGTTGATCATGATGCTGCAACTGCAAGTGTCTCATAAATCCCTGCAGCTGTTTAAATGTATGCCGGCAAAAATTGCAGGACATGATAAACTTGTTTCTTTTAGACGCCACCATTATTTGTCCACATTTTTGGTATTCGCCCATATTTACATTCTTTGTAACGCGCATTTTTAACAAATAATTATTAAACTAATATGGCACTGTATGAATTAACACAAAAACTATAAAAAATTTCAGGTAAATTTTCTTATGTTATGGAATTTTTTCTAATTTTTCCAAATTAAAAGCGCGAAAAAAATTATGGTAGCAGAATTTCTGTTCGCAGTCGGCAGAATTGACATTAACAGCACTTCACATTTAAAATACACACATGTTCGATGATGACCTAGTCTTTTACGGTATGTCAAACCAGCAATGTAAAAAGGTCGAGCTTGGTTGACATCAACAAAGCTAGTTTGAAGTAGTAGCAGCGAAGTAGACGGCGCGTAAAACAAGAAAATATCTGAGACGAAGCATATACAACGAACGTTGAAGAAAGTTTGACGCCGTCTAAATTTCAATGAGCTGCTTATTTTTAGATAAAAGAAAACTTTTTTAATGAAAATAAAATTGTTTTATATTGTAAAGTTCCATAAATTTAGCAAGTCTTCTGTAAATTATACAAAATATGGCAAACTGTTTTAAGTTGTAACATATCGGCGGCGTCTTTGAAATTTTGTTCGGCGGCTCTGTGTTTGTTTTCGACTGGTAATCAGTGTGACCAGGTCTCAAAAAATGTTGCGGCTAAATCCCATCCAAAATAATGCTACAAAAAATGCTAAATTGATTTTAAAATGCCAAAAAAAATGCTAAAATTTTTTAAGTGTTTTTATGAACAATTCATATTAATTTGTAACTGAAATTCATTGTAATTTATAACAAGTAAGAAAGTATATTCTGCCGTGGTTGACCATATGAGTATAAAATTTGATTTATTTTTCGTAATAAAGCATTTATATTGACTTGAACCTTGGTTCCGATATATTTAAACTAATTCTCTGAGAAAGGCTTTTTACATTTGTATATGTATGGGGGCTAGGTAAAATAAAAGACGGACTTTAACCATTTTTAAAAGGTTTTGTCATTGGATCAAAAAGCATACGTGCTTATTGTTTTGATAATTTCAACCTCTACCAGACGGTCAGACTTACATGGCTTAATCGATTCAGAAAATGATTCTTAACCGATTAGTATACTCCAAAGTAGTATAGTGGAGTAGGGTAAAAAATTAAGTTCCGTGGTATTAAGATAAACAGAAATGCTAAAAATTTTTTCAAAATTTTTGTAAATTTAGCAATATGTATGTCTTTAAAATATTTCTGAATTCAAAAATTACATTAAAACTCTATTAATTACACTAGTTGCTCATGGTATAAAACCTATATGTGTTTTCGGAAGGAAAAGTATAATATTTCTAGTTTTACTTTTTTTTATATAAACAATTTTATTAGTCTTCCTCAAAACACTTTAAAAATGGTTTTCATGTCACAAAAATATTGAAAATTCCGTTGAAATAATTTTAAATCTCGGTGAATAGATGTCAGGTTTATAACTAATACTTCCAAGATTTTTCGGAAAGATATATATGAGAATGTATGAAATGAATTGAGAGATATATTCAAATCCGTAAGTTTGTAATTCTGGAATAAATTGTCAATAATATTTTCGAAATTTATGTATTTTTTTTTTAATTAAAAAAAAAACGTGACAACAAAATTACTAAAAATTTGGTAAAAAAAAAAGAACAGAAAGTAGGATGAGAAAGTCTTAATAATATATTATTGATTTTTTTCAATACTTATTTTCAATAAATTAACAAGAACTCTTGAAGGATGATAAAAATTAAAACCTCTTTATTTCGTATAGGAAAAAATAAAATTTGTTAATTAACCGTCATACATAACCTTTTCCAAAATTATATGTTTCATTCCATGAGCAAACAAAAAGTATTAGTTTGTAAAATAGCGTACTGAACGTATTTGTAAAAATATATGAAATCTCTTGAATTATTTCTATCACCTCGAATTTAAAAAAGAATTGCGTTCCAGAAAAATATTTTAGAATACAACATTTTAAAGTATTCACTTGTATTGGCGTAATTTTAAGTTATTTATCTTTATGAATCTTTTTGCATTATTTTGAATTACAGTGTAAATTATTACATTTCTCATATTTCTTGTTGCTTGTGTTTGGATAGACATTTAATTCTGATTTTTTCCGGTTAAACCTATTTCCAATATAAATCTTTTTTGCAAAAATTTATCTTTTTTTGTTTATATACTAAAATTGCAAAAAAAAGCTAAAAATGCTAAAAATATTTTATAAAAATGCTAAATAAAATGCCAAATGCTAAATTAAAATTTTACAGCTAAATCAAAATAAAAAATGCTAAATCTAGCTGCAAAAATGCCAAAATGGTCACACTGCTGGTAATTTTTTCTTAATGAAGTGGTGGAATTTAATAGAGATGCCATATGTAGTGTGTTTTAGGTAAAAGGCGGCCAGATTTTTAAATAGTGTGTGAAATAGTTGGCAAAGCGGTTAAGGTGGTGGATATTTAATAATTTAAATTTTAAATGCGAATTAAATTATTTTAGTAAATTTTAAAGCTTAAAGTAAAACTAAATAAAAAAAAATTAAGTTATTTTCAGTATAAAATTCTGTATTTAATAAAATTATTTAACTTAATTTGGAAACCGTTCCCTCAGTCATAAATACCTTTGTCAGTGAATATGTTCAATAGTCCGATCCAGGTTTCAATTGTTAATATGATTGCTATTGATATTAGATTTATACTATATGCAAAACTTTGTGGTAATACCGATATTCCGGAGGTAGTTATAAACAAAAAATCCATTTTCCTGGAGTATATAAATTTGTACTGGACTGTATGTATATGCAATTTTGGACCGATTGCAATAATTTTCAGCCATGTTGATCCCACGATGACTTGCGATAAAATTTCATGCGATATTTCGGAATTTTGCCCATATCTCCGTTATTTATAGACTAATTTTACTGATTTTAAATAGCGAACTTCTTGAAAGCATGTCTGATAGAATTATTGAAATTTTGGATCTCGCAGATATCGGGGCACTTCAAAATTATTAAAAATATTTTAAATTTTGCAAAATTTTTTACAAAAAACAAAATCATCTTCTATCTTCTAGAACTTTTTAAAAATTGTCACCTTTCCTTACAGTTCTCCTACTCGGTTCTCGTACTCATACTAAAGTACAACACTTCACCCACTTTACCATCACAGCCGAAGCCCATATCGGTGGCAGACGTCCCATACCGGCAAATCCCAAACGTGTTGGACGTTTCCAATTATTCAGTGATTCTCTCACCAAATTCAGTGATCGTTGTGTTAATACCGTTGCTGAGGCTGATGACTTACCTAAAACCGAAATACAAGTTATGTGGGTAGCACCCGAGGCTGGATCTGGCTGTGTTTCCCTATCGGCTATGGTATATGAGGGACCACGTTCCTGGTTTTCGGATGATGGCCAATTGACTCAGGTGATATGCGAAAAGAAGCCCGACGCTATTACTGTGCAAAAGGAATGTTGTGCCTGTGATGAAGCCAAATATAGTGTAAGTTTTTGAAATGTTTACCAGTTAGTAAATCTTATTTGAATATTTTTCTTAATAGTTTGTTTTCGAGGGTATTTGGTCGAATGAGACTCATCCCAAAGATTTTCCCTTCACCGTTTGGTTGACTCACTTTTCCGATATTGTGGGTGCTTCGCATGAAGCCAATTTCTCTTTCTGGGGCGAAAATCACATAGCTACTGATGGCTTCAAGCTGTTGGCTGAATTTGGTTCCCCTAGCGGTTTGGAGGCAGAACTTAGAGCTAAAGGCCCTAAATTGCGCACTTTAATTAAGGCTGCTGGTCTTTGGTATCCCAATGTGAATTCAAATGCCTCTTCCACCTTCCGTGTGGATCGTAAACATCATAAAGTATCTTTGGTTTCTATGTTTGGTCCTTCACCCGATTGGGTAGTAGGTATCAGTGGTGAAGACTTGTGTACTGCTGATTGTTCTTGGAAAGAATCTTTGGACTTTGATTTGTATCCCTGGGACGCTGGTACTGATAGTGGCATTACATATATGTCGCCCAATTTGGAAACTCAACCTAGAGAACGCATGTACCGCATTACCACCATGTATCCCGAAGATCCTCGTTCTCCTTTCTATAATCCTAAATCGAGAGATATGACTCCTTTGGCTAAGCTGTATATCAGAAGAGAAAAGATTATTTCTAGAAATTGTGATGATGATTTCTTGCAGGCTCTACAAGTGGAGACTTCAGATGCTAGTGAAGATCAAGATACTAGAGGTAGGTTTATAATTTCAATTGCTTGGAAATTGTCTAAAGTTGTTTTTGTTATTTTTAAAGTGGAATGTCGTGTTACGGAATATAGCGATTGGGCTCCTTGTTCGGTTACTTGCGGCAAAGGCATTCGTATGCGTTCTCGTCAATATTTGAATCCTGAGAAAGCTGAAATGGCTAAGTGCTCTAGACAATTGATTTCGAAGGAAATGTGTGTTGCTGATATTCCAGAATGTGGGTAAGTAATCCTGAATGCAAATTTTAATTACTATATTGCAGAATCAAAATCCCAAACTTAGATCCAAATATAGACGAATCAGTTGACTAGAATATAAAAAGATAAGACTGTAGACTAGAATATAGTCTAGACTAAAGACTAGATTTTAGTCAAGACTATAGACCAGACTTAACCGTATACAATAGTTATTCCAGACTAGGGACAAGTTTGGAATGTAGATTAGATAATAATAAAGCCTATAGACTAGATTATAATCAAGAGTATAATAGTCCACACTATAGACCAAACAATATATCAGACCATAGTTCGGTCCATAGTTCAGAATATAGACTAGACTATTATCCAGACTATAGACTAGACTATAGTCCAGACCTTAGTCCAGATTATAGACTAGGCTATAGTCCAGACTTTGACTAGACCTTAGTCCAGATTATATACCAGACCACAGCATACAGTCCAGTCTTTGGACTATAGATTAGACTGTAATCCAGAATAAAGACTAGACTGTAGTACAAACTAGTCCGCAAAGTAGACTAGACCATAGACTAGATTATAGTCTAGGCTATAGACCAAAGTATAGTCCAGACTATAGACAAAAAAATATAGCAAATCATAGTTCGGACTAAAAGCCAAATTATATATAAGATATATATATATATTCTAACTTGTTTCTTTACTTTATAAAGAACCCAACAAGATGACGATGATGAGGGTGAAAATTTAGCCAAATCAATTTCCCTGGTCAACGAAAATGGTGATGGCGCTGGCGTTTGTCAAACCACAGCCTGGAGTCCTTGGTCTGACTGCTCGGCTACGTGTGGTATCGGTATTACAATGCGTACTCGTACTTTCCTCAATCACGTAGGTCGTAAACGTTGTCCCCATATATCGGTGGTGGAAAAACAAAAATGCATGAAACCCGAATGCACTTTCGAACAAATTGAGTTACCTGATCCAATGTGCCCCACTACACAGTGGAGTGATTGGAGTCCCTGCTCGGCCACTTGCGGTAAGGGTGTAACTATTCGTAAACGTATATTGCTATTGGAGGATGAATCCGTTAAGCAGAACTGCACCAAACGTATGGAATTGGATCAGCAAAAGGAGTGTT